CGAAAAATATTAAAAATTTAAAACGTTTTATAGTAAGCTCACAATGAAACCTATCGTACAAAATCGCGAGTTTTATACTACAATTTTGGCTCACTAGTTCGTCATAAACTGTCCCGCCATAGATTGAACTCGCGGGACATAGAGTTAGTCCTCGTAAACTCGACGCGTAATTGGATCCTTCGTAGCGAGAATACAGCAAGTAATACGTATGGTGTGATTACATTATGAGTTCTAATCACTTTTACCGCTAAAGCAATCCCGCCATATCGTGCCGCGCGTGCCATCTGACCGCGCGAGAAAAGCCGCGCGGAAATACTCGAAAATAGTTACCGTGATATAACTAATGACATTTAACCGGAAGTGACGTGTGCCAACATTCGCGAAGTGCAATAACGAAATCGCAGCCGTAATATTACGGGCATAATAATTTTAGAGTAAACACACCTGCTAATAACACTGTCGATGTATAATGTGAAAGCTTTTAGCAATATAGATCATGTCCATGGGTATTGAAAAGATCGCCAACGAAATTACTTTTGCACAATTGTAAGGAAAATTGATGATTGTGCATGTAATTATTGCCAATTAAAAATTGAAAAGAAAAATGGGCTATATTATGTGTGCAATCTTATAAAAGATTGACGTGTCTACTTAAAGTTATATTTATATTTATTATATGCACATATTTATGTAAAAGTTTAACTTTATAAGTTAATGCGTATGTAGACATTTTGTTAACACCACAGCACATAATAAATATGTACATGATAAAAGGTTAAGTTTATAATGAAGAACATACTCTTGTTAGAATGCTTACCCCAACGAGATTTTACTAGATAAAACTCTCGAGTGAGAATGGAGATTCTGCGGTGCGCACATCTCGTTAAAATGCGCGAAAATACACGCGTTAACGTGTTAACAACCGGAACCTGAAATCCGAAGCGTTAAACTGTCGAGCATAAAACGGTTGGCGGCTTCCGTTTAGCGCTTTTCCGCTCGACACGGCCGCGCGCATTACGCCGCAACACTTTTAATTGCAAACTTAAAAGGCTTCTCCCGCGGATAAAGAGGTCGCTCAAGCAAGAGGTAAACCCGTTCCGTCGCTTTTGCAAAGAATTAGCCGCGGGCAGAAGCGCGCGCAGATACAAAGTGTGCGCGAAACTTTATTAATGTTAAATTTGGTTTTATGATACCGGGGCCGAAGGAACTTAAATTCGCTCCCGCCTCAAATGCCGGACTGCCGCGTCTGCCGCGCCCGCTCTCTTCTTGCCGGGCCTCTGACAAAAGACGAAGGAGAGAGATTGTGTAAAGTGGCTCGTTTACGTTCTCTCTCCGGAGCGGGAGTAAAATAGAACGCGAGGCGCTTGCCCGGATTCGCAAAACGGTTATTATTACTGCGAATCGCGTGCGATAAGAATCGACGATAAGTGGAGCGTTTATCGATCGCGGGATTTATCCGCGCGATATTTTCTATAAGGGTGGATTTTAACGTCGAAGAATGGGATAATCTCCCTCTCTCCTCTCACGGCTCGGGATAACGATCTCTCGAAATGACGTTGAATAGACCTCCCCTTCGTTGGGCGCAACAACGTAAATGCGAATCCGATATTCGCGGCGATGTTCGCTGTACGCGCGGGATCCCACTCTCTGACAACCCTTGCCTTATCAACTGTTCGCAACTCGGCCTTATCGCTCGACGGACGGCCGCGGCGCGGCGCGTCGCGATTTCAACGTTGCGCGCGCGCGCGCGGGTCACTTTGTGCAGTACGCCGCGCGTTTCCGAACTTGCTTGGCATTCGCGTTACAGATAGCATGGAAACAGAGGGCAACTGCGAGTTTTGCGCGTTGAATGCACCTCGGGGCTTGCCGAGGTATCAGGTGCCGCTGTTTCCATTGTGGGCCGCGTCGGAACTTTTGCGAATTAAGGGACGTACCGCGTCCCCCGAGATTAATCGCGCTTTCGACCTAAACCAAACACTGACGTATTAATTTAGCGCAAGTCGATAAATAGAACGAATTCACATTTTTTACGGGGCGTTTTTATTAATTGCATACTCATTAGTGCGTGTTTAAACATGTATTAGAGAGTTATTTTAAAACGTTAATTATTAATAAATTAATTTTAATTAATTAGAGAGTAATATAATTTCAATTCATTAATTAGAGAGTTATTTTAAAATGTTAATTATATTAAATTAATTTTTCATTAATAATTTTTAGATATTTTCTGAAAAAAAATATATATAGCATTAAAAATATTCTTTAACTTTCACGTTTCTTAAAATGACAAGCCTTTTTATAATTTTATTTTAATTAAAAAATGTAAAAAAATGTAAAAAAATGAAAACAATTAAGACTAAAAAATATATTTCTCACATTTTAGATGAGAATTAAATTCTGTATACAAATATTTTTCTCACTTTAATGACTCTTTCTAGTAAGTATAAAATGTATACTACAAATTCTGTTTCTATAACATCATATCTATCTTTAAAAATTAATGTTACATAAAAATTTCCGAGTCGTAAATATTTCTAAAAGTAAATAATCCAACGTTTATTTGTTTAATAATCAAGATGTACACGATTCCCTTTGAGACACACTTTGCAGTAATATTCGACAGTAAAGGGCGGATGGGCATTTAATAATGCCTCGGAGCGTAGTACAGTAGGTCACAGTGCGGCTGGAAATGTAATGTCGATCGATGAGTTTCATCGAATCATTTTGCAGCGCAATATCCGCTATTGGCACGATCTAATTTGCTCGCTCCAATGAATCGTGGCCACTGACCAAATCATTTGTTTCATAAATTTCCGCCATTCGCACGCGCGGGATTCACCCCACTTATTCATCTAGCGTAAACATTTCGTGATTTTTTTTACGTTCTTTTGGAAACATTAAATAAAACGTTCGTTTGAACCAATCTATATCTAATTATCTTTGATCTCAAATTTTACATTTTTGACACAATTGTATCTTTGATCCTATAATCTGAAATTATTTCAGATAACAGTATTGTAAGCCATAAGTTTGTTAATAACATTCAATATTTTTCCTCTTCATCAGTTTTTAATGAGCAATTTCCTAATTCTTTATTTTTAAAAATTGTAAGGAATAAAGTTGCGTGAAAAATCCAAATATAAAAAAAATATATAAAATAATTATCTGCATAATTGATGCTCATAACCGTTAAATTTTTTTCAAGAATTTAATTTCTGGAATTTTATTAGATAAAGATCAATTTCAACTAGATTGAGAATAACTCTAGCCTATTAAAGCTTCGAGATAATGAAACTTCCTGTATTTTACTTGATTTATTATCTAATAACGTCAAGTTTATTCGTGTTGCACATATATATAAAATTATAAATAACATGTGTAATTATTTTCTGTCTAAGATAATGAATGAGACAATTACAGTGATACTTCGCATTTCACGACTTTAAATTGATTGTATAGTTTCTAAAGAACGAATTAGTGAAGATATCTGTGCTTCTGTATTTTCTAAATGTCTCATTAGCATAAAAGATAAGCAAATTAAAGTATTGGATTGTTATCTTAACTTGACAAGAATTGGTGGCCAATTCTTGTCAACATTAAAAACCGGTTTATCGAACATTAGTACTTTGAAGATTAAAAGTTTTGACTAAATTACCTAGAAGAGAAATAAACATTAAAAGAGAAAGTGCTCGGCAGAAATAATTAAATTTCTTAAACTAGAATGAAAATATAAATAATATATATCGGAAAATCAGTGGCACACATATACAAAGGGTCTCAACATTTTGCCGCATTATTTCTCCAAGAACCAGTTTTATAAGTAATTTAAAATCGATCCTTTTTTTTTTGCGAAAACACTGAGGTAAATCATTATCAAACTGCTCAGTATTTGAAGTTGTATAATTCATCTTTGTTATCTAATTTAAAGATCTAACATAATTTATATGTATTATTTTTCATCTAAAGCTAAATTCTGAATTTAAAAAAAGCTTTAATTAATTGAAAACTAATATGTTTGCGTACTCGATACGTTTGCTGAGATAAAATGACTTTAATTGGCCAAAAAAATCTGCTCTTCAAAAATAATGCGAGATAAAGAGCACCCAGTATACTTTAATATTATATTCTGATGACGTTGCGATAATGGAGATTCCTGAGAGTAAATTGGGATCGCTTTCAGCCACGTAATCGTACCGTAATACACAGAGTTAATGATGTATTAACACGAAAATCTCCGCCCCCTTTAATAGGAGTGCGCGTATTGGCGTACCGTGAATCGGTTGGCACTAAGCCTTGAACTAACGAAGTATGTGATCCATGCAATGAATATCCCGTTAAAATTACTAAAATTTAAGATACAGAGTAAAAAAAACTGCAAATAAAAATTTAATCCATCTCGTTTATTTCGGGTCTTACTTATATTAAAATAAAATAAAATGAAAAATCATACCATTTATTACCAAATAAATAATTTCTATTTTTATATCCGTTACGAGTTAATATTCATAGTACTTACGGATATCGTTTAGAGTATACTCTTATAACGATGTTATAACTTGAACAATATGCAAAGTTTTCAAATATTCGCTACGTATTAATACTGTTCTATTATTTACACGAGGAAATTATGAGTAATAAATAAAATAAACGACGATGACGAAGTATGGAAACGCGAACAGTGTGACACAATAAAACCGATCAATCCTTTCCAATACTTCTCTAATACCCTGACGACAATTTATAACTATCAACCCCAATCCAGGATTTGCAATAAAAAAAAAGTTATGGAGATTGGATAGTCGATTGATTTACTATTCCAGATTGATCGTCGATTCATCCGGCATTGTTTGTTAATCGTAACCGGAAACCACAAGCCGTCACGAATCAATATGGATTCGAAGAGTGTCGATGAGCTCCATTAGTGCTCGGCAACGGTACAGACGATAATCGATAAACGATAATCGATGTTCACCACCGTTGGTTACGCGGTAATCGATATCCACGAGTAATAATCTATCACGAACATCAGCGTATCGGATTTTAATGGAGAAATTTTGAGGGCGCCGCGCTTGAGTATCGACAAGAGCCAGTGCGGGTTTCGTCGATACAACAAAGAAACCGATTTCGGCGATTATAGCGAGCCGCTAACGGCCGTATTCCTATTTATACCTTAACGTTTGCTATCCCGAAGCGGACCCGAGCAAATTGAGTCGTCGAAATGGTCGAATAAATTTTCAAATTTATGGTAAACGAGCTATTAGATTCGAAACTGCCTGTTTAGCGCCGGGAATTAATATTCATCGTTTTCCACATTGGCATTTCATTCCCAGTAATGAGCTCGACGGCTCATCAGTTAAAAAAACCCGCAGGGTTTCCTCAGCCATCCCCGGGCACCTCGTCGCGGACCGGTCATTCGAGCGGATGATGCATGGAACACGCGCGGCGGAGTCAAACGGAATCCGCAGTAATAAGGACGCATCGTTGCTGAATGAGAGTAATAATGGGCTAGACACACGTGAATAAAGATATGGTAATTGGGGAAGGTACGACAGATTGATGAGACTTTACGGTTATTCGATGGCGCGGACGATGGAGATGTCACTTCCACGATTTGTGGCGTTTGTATTCGGTAGTTTCGTGATTTTATCCGAGATACGCTGCTTTCGCGTGTCGAGCACTGTGTTTAATAAAATGTAACAAATTTATCGCTATTATATTAGTAATCACGATATCCGTTTGTTAATTAGTTAATTAACATTTTCGCGTTTGCGTGTATCATATGTGATACTTTGATTTCCATGATAGATGCAGAATGTCAGAAGTATGTCAGTAATAATTCCTTGCAAATAATTATTCTGTACACACGATTAAAAAAATATTTAAAATTAAAATAAAGATATTTAATACCATTTAAATATCTTAATACCATTTAAATAATTGCTGCAATTGCAATTTTCGGAACAATTTTTCTAAAGATGTACCATTAAAACGCCAAAAAATTTTCTGTTTTTCAACGTACATTGATATAAAACGTGTACTGATTATTTTTATTAATACTATTTAAGAAAACCTAGTTATATGTATACATATACTATTTCACGCTGGACGTTACCCCGTTTTCTTTCCGAGAGACGGAACACATTTCTTCTTATCAAGTTTTCTATCAGACCTCTTTTCTCGCTCTTAAAGTAGCGGTAAAGAATGACCAAGCCGCCACTTTACGTTCCATCGAGAAAGAAAATCGCGTGTCTGCTTGACAAAGCGACGGCGACGGTGTTCGATCGCGAAATTGCGACGCTATCATTTGTCCGTACGTTGATTGCAGATTGGCTGAAATCGCGCCAGAAGAGGGGCCAGAGGAGGCGGGAAAGCCGTAATTATGACGGTCAGCGCCATTCTGGCGTAAGAGGGAGTTCAACTAATCGGAAAAAGATGGAGAGAGGGAAAGAGAGAGAGAGAGAGAGAGGGGGGAAAGAGAAAAAGAGAGAGAAAGGGAGGAGGGGGAAATTCGCCGCGCGAGTGGAATTACATCGACCACACGTTGCAACAGCAGCAGCGCTACAAAATATCCACACTGTTTGATCTGTTCCCCCATTTACTCAAATGGCGTGAAATTCAACAAAGCTGCCTGAGTGGCACCGGCTACTCGGTATCGAATATGTACGAGCCTACCCCGCGTTCTCTTTCTCCCTGCTCGACCTGTTCCCCCTCGAGCGCCCTTTTAAAGCGCCACCAAATTCCATTTGGGCACCAGCTGATTAAATGCTTCTGCGGGAGATGTAAATTTCTGCCCGCAGGTAAAATGCGATACGATCGGATATATCCTCTCATGCAACCCCCACTTTCTCCATCTCGTTCGCGCTCTCGCGAAATTGTGAATATTGTGCCAGTTCTTAAGAAATTCGGTTTATTTTCAATATTGTCATTAAAAATTTTGATTTTCAAAATTGTGTGCTGTTGAAATAATAACAATTAAGATTAAGTTCGTACTTGTTTAATATCAAAATTAAAGTTATTATTACAAAATTAATATTAACAATTTTGTTTATTAAAAATAAATAATACAATACAAAGCAAACACAATAATCAATTATTTAAATTATTAGTACAAAAAATATAAAAATTTTCTTGGAAATAATTCGATAAATGTTGCATTTATTCTGTATAGTAAAAACTCTATGGTCAAAACTTAAATGCAAAAGTTAAATTTACAACTCACAAAGGAGTCACAGATTTATGAGATAAATTGAAAAAAAGAGAAAAATATATATGTAAGAAAATTTAAAGATATAAATCTCAAAATATTATATTATTTAAATTCTTTTAAAATTTCTATATCTAATAGAATTCTACAACTACCATCGTGATTCCACCGTGACTCGCTCGAAATTCTTTGGAAGTCTCACGATATTTACTATTACGTTTCTTCCTAACTAATTGTTTGACGCGTTAATCAATTAGCTCAGAAAAATATTTCTGCCGTCACATTACATACGAAATAGCGCAATACGACGGGAACTGTAAAGATTCACGAGGGAAATTCACGGTTTCTTTCGGAGACACGTCCATCCCATCGACAATTAACGATAACTACTGATCATTCAATCGTACATCGTCGTGGATATTCTGGAATGGTCGAGCTGCTCCATCGCTAACGAAGAAGAGAGAAACACAAATTGAGAGAGGGAGAGAGAGAGAGAGAGAGAGAGAGAGAGAGAGAGAGAGAGAGAGAGAGAGAGAGAGAGAGAAAGGACAG